TTTTAGAAATCTGGTCTGTCAACCGATCAGGTTATTTGAGTAGCCCATGCTCAATTCGAACTAGGTTACCATTTAAAAGGTAAAGAATGCATGAAACCAGAAAAGATAATTTTCAACATGAACATTAACCAGTGAATGAGGTGTTTTTCAAACAGTTGTTCGTCCAATACTAAAACTCGATGTGTGCCTTCACTCATATAAACAAACAATCAAGCTCCAGCTTACCCAGAATACAAAGAAAATTGCGAAAAACTCTGTAGTTGACTGGTCACCCTTTTAATGGTAGCCTTTGTTCGCATTGTGCGTATCCTATTCAGGAGATTTGATAGATTGATAAAGCTAGTCTCTGCAAACATTTTCCATCAGGTTTCAACTGTAAAAATGCTCAAAACACAATTTAAATTACAAGAAATATGCGTCAGACGACCGTCGCTTTTGCTCTTTGAAACCACAAGCTTATGCAAATTTTACTCGTCATTTTGTGAAAAAGGGTGGATAGTATCGAATTTAGATCAAAATATTCTATTTCATAGAGCTTCGCTCGGTAAACCTTTCAAAACAAAATAAAGGTAAAATAATGCGGGACAACAGAGGTATTTGTGAAATACTAATGATATTCTTATTTATGGGCTACCCATCATTTGCAAAATAAATGAACTATTTTTTCGAGTGAGTCGATTTCATCACAAAACGACCCTTTTTTTAGTAGTACAGCTACAATTCCTATTTAGTCTTATGATGTCAATCGAAAGACAACATCAAATCACCATATTCGTAATCAAAATAGCAGGTGGTTTGGTTTTCTTCAATGAAAATCTGCAATCAAAGTCAAATACTGAAACAACCCAGTCAGACAAAACTTGAAAAAAACGGCGTTTTAAGGCGTAAAAAGCGCACATTTTTATGCGTTAAAAACCGTTTTTTTTCTTCGAATCAAATGATTTCCACAACTTGGACATTCTCAAGCTTCCTTTATTTTTCGAAAAAAAATCAACTTGCATAAAACGTTAAAATGTGCGCTTTCCCCGCGTAAAAACGCCGTTTTTTGCAACGCTTGCCTGACCTGGTGACCCAAAATTGCTTTGATGATAATTTTCGTAAATGCAACTGTTTTTTGCATTAACAGGCGGAATTTAGCAAAATTCTAGTCATCTTGCAGGTACACGTCTGTAGTGCTTTGGTATTTACATGTGAGTCATATATCTTGCATAAACACGAAAGACTGCTACATGTACTTCTATAGTTATGCTATTGTTTTGCATAAAACTTTTCGTTGAAAAGAACATATGGTCGATTTATTTAAAACATAGACGTTTCAGCTGTAACATAACTGGCGTTTCTATTTCCCATACAACCAAGAACATTCTTTACTAGATGGAACAATAATAAGAAAGGCATTTTTCAATGTTAAGAAGATGAGACTATTCTTGAATTCTTCATTCGAAAAGAATGTTTACGTAAAAGTTTTAAATTATTTGTGTAATTCACTAGGGTAGTCACTTTCCATCCGTAATCCTGTATATTTATTTGACCACAAAAAGAAAGAAACTTTGCTTTTTTTAATTTTGACTAGAACAGCATAGTGAGTTAGATATCATATTTAAATTTTATAAAATACAAATGATAACTACGAAAAGGTGTGGGGTGTGGGGTTGGGGGTGTGGGTGTGGAGGTGTGGGTGTGAGTGTGGGTGTGGGGTGTGGGTGTGGGTGTGGAGGTGTGGGTGTGAGTGTGGGTGTGGGTGTGGGTGTGTAATATCTCTACATCTACACTCACACGCACGTCAACACGCACGCCCACGCCCACACCCACACCCTCAAGCATCCTCACTCCAACTGTACACTCGAGCCCACTCGTCCATCCTCACGCTAACAACCATCCATGGTCACTATCACACCAACCTACCCTGATCTTACCCTTAAAACCCAACCCGTCATCACCCGAGCGAACCTCACCTCACCGCAAGCAGCCACACTCTTACACCCACGCGCACTCGACCGCGTTCTTCTTTGTCATGCGTGGCATCCTTGGTATCTTTGGACTCTATTAGGTGCTTCACTTTTATGCAGTTTCCCATTACCGCGATAATGTTATATGACTTTTGGATTCAGAAGTTCTCAAGACTTCTCAATTCAGCGAAGTCGGACACATCTCGTGCAGAAATACACAGTGTATCTTAAGTTTGATAAAAAAAAACTAACGAATCTCATAAAAAACATCGATTTTTTTTAATCGAAAAAAAAGCAATTAATTCTTCATGAAGTTGCATAATCCCTTCATATGATTCACATTTTCATATTAATTTCGAAAAAAATTGTGGGGATTAAATGAAATCGATGCCACGAGATAATAGTTCGTCAAATAATAGAAAAAACATTCGAAGCGAGGTATATTAATAAAGACAAAATCTGCTTTGTTTCATTTTATTGGCGTTCTTACAATAAAACGAACTATATGACTTCTTTTTCACTATTACTGTTTGTGCTATTCACTGCATATACTTTCGTCCAAAATACAACAGGTAGATTGATGAACATTTAACTCATTGATATAAATTCTGACGTTCTCTTAGACTTTATCTTGAACTCTTTCCCTTCGCTTCTTATCTTATTTGTGGAAAAAATTTCTTAGCTAAAATGAAACACTCACACGAATTCTCGTATTTCATTTTACAAAAAAGATCTATTCAGTTGTGAATTAGTCTTTACGATATCAGATGAATCGTGTTTCTTTCTTCTTGTTTTCCGATCGAAAAGTCGATTTTAATCTGACTACATAGAAAGATAGAATAAAGTGTCTTTTGAAGTTTAAAATCTTATTCAACTTTAACAAACATAAAGTGCAAAAGTCAATAAATTGAAAACACTGTTTCTCCGTTAAAAAAAATCTAATCTAATTTCATTCATACATTCAATGTAGTTAACCCGTGTTCGATTGTTTTCGAATTTCATCCGATCAGTTTATCCCTTTATATCAATGCAACGACATATATTCATATTTTTCCAATGATCATTTACTTTCTACATTTTTGTCAAAGGAAGTGGCGCTTTTTCCATGAGCTATACCCCCCACCACGCTAGTTTTCTTTCTATTTCATTATTTTTTATTGGGACTGATGTGAGGATACAAGATCACGAAATGAGAGCGTGAACTTTTTTAGTCTTAGCCAAAAACTTAATACTTTGAGAAAAGCATCATGTTCAACAAATATTAACCCTTTGTTGTATATGACATCCATAGCACCGTTAGTTTTCAATGAAACTCTGCACATATAAGTGGCTACCTATCAGGTATATTATCCCAAAGTTTCAAGACGATTGGACGTTGTATTGAAGAAATACAGAAGAATGTGGATACGTCGGATTTAAATCCGAGTGTTATGTGTACTTCAAAAAGTAAAAATAATTGACGACAGATTGATTTTCATCAAACTATTCAGAAAAACTTTTTCTATCAAAAGATGTATCAACGAGAGTGATTAACGGAAATCTAACTGGGTACTGAGTGGTATCAATCATGTAGACAATTCGGTTTATTGAGATCCTCGAAAGTATTCTCAATGTTAGAGTACAAAGTTACATTTTATTCTTAATGTCTTATATACCATTTTGTAGCCCGTGAAATTCTCTACCGAATGGTATATAATGGTTGAGATTTTTTTTTTGATTATGACAAAGAAAATTTTTTTACGAAAACCGGGATAGGTCAATGTTCCCATAGAAAAGTACAGGAAATAATGGCATTTTTTGCTATAACTCAGCATATTCCTGAGGAATCATTCTCATCTTTGAACTCGACCGACATATTGATGAGACAATTCTGTATACAAAATTTCGTAACAATCGGATTACCCTCTGAAGAGTTATCATGTATACGGACGAACATACTGACCGATTCTATAGTGTACTCACTTTTTGAGTACACAAAAATGACTGAATGTGGTAGTTTTTCTATAAAAATGACGATATAAAAATGACTGAAAATATCGTGATTTTGGCATTAAAGTTTGATTTCTTTCATCAAATCAAGACAGATCAACTCAATTTTCATATCGTACACAACTGACATTTTCTAATTATATATTGTGTTGATAACAAAATGATCTGCCTTCATTTGTTCAAGGAAATCAAACTTTAATGCCAAAATCACGATATTTTCAGTAATTTTTATATAGTCATTTTTATAGGAAAACTACCACATTCAGTCATTTTTCTGTATTTCTTCAATGCAACATCCGATCGTCTTGAAACTTTGGAATAATATAGCTGATAGGTAGCCACTTATATGTGCAAAGTATCATTGAAAACTAACGGTGCTATGGATGTCATATACAACAAAGGGTTAATATTTGTTGAACATGATGCTTTTCCCAAAGTATTAGGTTTTTTGCTAAGACTAAAAACGTCCACGCTCTCATTTCGTGATCTTGTATCCTCACATCAGTCCCAATAAAAAAATAATGAAATGGAAAGAAATCTAACGGGGAGTATCAGCGCCAGTTCCTTTCAAATCGCATAATAATGTGCCCTTTGTATCGTGACCAAGTTGGTATAGTGCATATCTCTACAGTGCCTTCAAATACTAAGGAAAAAACATTTCAGATGTTTAAGCCGTTAGATTCTATCTTTTGGGCATATGTGGATGCAAGGAAAAAAAAGCAGACTTCAATCATGAAATCCAATACAGTTCCGAAATCTTGTGAAGTCTTTAGAAGTCTTGTAAAAACATGAAGTCTCAATGGTTGATGGGTTGGTGTGGGTGTGGTCGTCTTCTCTTCATCCACACTCATCACGCCCCACATCCGTATCAGCCTCTTTTGGCCGAGAGGGACCTTTCTTAGATTTCACTGAATTATAGAACGACAGTGAATGCGATCCTTTTCTCATATTTGTCATTGGCATATTGAATCCTATTGAAACTATCCTTCTATTTATGTTCTTGTAGCAAACACGTGTGATGGCTTCTTACGTAAAGACAATTGGGACATTCCTGGAAATGATATGTTATCGTCACCTGTACAAGTATCGGATTATGCTAGTTGTTGCATAAGATGCCAAACAACTTCAGGATGTATGGCTTTTGCATATTCACCATCAACAAGACAATGTTGGCCGAAAACAAGTACCGGAGGTGGTGGAAAACCAGAAGGCAATAGAATTTCTGGATACAGTTGTAAGTATTTATTAGCAAGAGAAACCCAACAAACAAGGTTGCTTCATCGTAGTATACTGGCCGATTTGTAAAACATTCCAGAGATAATAAAACTCCAGATCAGAGAAGTCATCCTATTCCGCGATGTTGGACATTGCGGAATCAGTTTCGCCCTAGGTAGTGAACTGCATCGTGATTGATCGTGATTGACTATTTTTGAATCCAAAGAAGAGCATAGTTTTTTCGAATCATATGAATTTCGTTCAGTTTTCCAACCGCTATAAAACGATGTGTCTAACTTAAAGATATCATGTTATGTGAGTGCAACAATCACCTTATAATCATCATGATTGGCAGTTATCGTGATGAATCGTGATTGGACGATCAAGAGGGAATTTTCGCTACGACGCTACATAATAACCTTCCTTTTAATAGATCTTCTTGTAGCAGCAGAACAACTGAACGCAATCAATGTGGTTCGAAAAATCCATGAACTTATTTTATATACTTAAAATTCAAAAATACTCAATCACAATAAATCACGAGGCAGTACACTAGCCCCAAGAATCAATTTCATCGATTCCGAAATTGGATCAAGTCCGAACAGCATCCGATTCCGGAATCAATTCCACCAATTCCTAGGAACTCCGGAATCAATTCTAACAATTCCTAAGACTTCCTAGGAACTCCGTCTAATTCCGGATCTACAAGTTCTATTATTACTCTATTGTCCCTTATCGATCGAATGATGACCAGATTCCGGTGAGGAATTCCGGCATTGGGTAGAGTTTCTGCGATTCCGGAATCGCAAAGAATTCCTGGGAATTGATGGAATCGATTCCGGGATCGAATGGAGTTCGGATTTGATCAATTTCCAGAATCGGTGGAATTGATTCCACAATGTTCAACATCGCGGAATAGGATGTATTTTTCCAGATCACTTTCTTGCGATAGAGTTCTTGACGAATTGTTGCAAGATATTCTTATCACTACAAGTGATGAGAATATCTAAGAAACGAATGTCAGTCTGTTTGTTAGTCGAGTGCTCTTTCAATGCAAATCTGTTGTTTGTAAGATATGATTAAAATTAAAAGAAGTCATTTGCAGACACTAGTCAGCGAACGCAGAACCCTTTTAATGCGGAAAACTTGCTCCAAGAACATAACTGATACGCATCTTTTTTTTTCGTTCTTTTCATTCTCTCGTCTCTGACACGTCCGTAATAAAGTGGAATGGACAGGAACAGATCGAGGAAACTCAACAGAAGACAAAGAACTGACTAAAAGTTTACTACGCCT